CTTGAACGGGGGCTCGCACCTCTGGCCTGCGGCCTCCCGGCTACTCGCGGGGGGGTTACTTCTCAGGGGCCACAAAAGGTACCTTCAGAAAATGCGGGCTGGGGTCAGCACACTGCACGCGACACCCTTCTGTCTTCGGCTCCGCAGAGACCCGTACACGTGCATGTATAGCGAAGGGTTCAGCCACCTCTAAAAGGTGGCTGGCTGGTCGGAGCCACGGACCCACCATGCGCCAGAGGCAGCTCGCGGGTGTCTTTGGAGTAGGCTGTGGGAGAGAAGAGCCCACATGCTGCCTGCTAACTGCTCTTCTTGCCTCCCTTCCTAATGGCTCACACTTGTTTTTCCTCTTGGTCTTGCAGAGCCTCCTCTAGAGGAAGGTCAAACTCTAAAATAACTTTTTTTTTTTTCCCCCCGATGGTATTAAAACCCAGCGCTCCAAGGAACTGTCATTGCTTGGACTGATGCGGGCTTGTGTCGCTGGGGCTGTGGTGCTTGCAGTGCTGGGCCGGTGCCCGGCTGCCTTTGCACAGAGCTGCCTTCTCCTGCGCTCCTGAACTGCATCACCTGGGGACCGGAGAAGCCAAATTGCTAGTCCCAGCGCCCAGGCAAAACTGCGTACTCCTGCTGCAGGCAGGGCCGTAGCGCGCAGCGGCTCTCGGCGCCGTCAGTGCGGTGCTGTGCCCCACACCATGCCACAACTGAGGGGCAGCGCCAGGCAGAGGGGCTGGCACAGGGGGAGCCACTTGGATGGGGACCCAGTTGGGAGCCCGGCGCGGAGCCCGGCTCCTCCTCGGGCCCCTGTGATGTGCAGGAGCAGGTGCTGGACACCACTGCTGCCAAATCCGCCTTCGGGCAGGGGACCATTTGGGTGTTAGCACAGGGTTAAAAGAAAGCCACGTCTGGCTTTTAAATACAATACAGACCCCAGGTCTGGCTGCCTCCTGGGTGGCTTTGGCTTGGCTCCGATCAGACACGCAGTGTCTTGCAGGTGCTGGCAGCTGGATTTGGAGGCGCCGCCAAACACTGAGCTGGGCAAAGGCCCTCTGCAAACACAAATATTTGCTTTCTGCTGCCTATCTTGCTGCTCTCCTCTTCTTTTTTTTTCTTTCAAAAGCACCTTTTCTTCTGTGAATCCTGCAGTGCTGCCTGCTTCAGTCCTCCCCTGGGGCGGTCCGTGGACTTCAACACATTTTAGGTGTTAAAGTTGTCATCGTTAGTGAGCGCAGAGCGGGCGGCATGGGGGCAGCCATGGGAGCTGCTCCGGGAACTGGAGTGGGGAGTTCCTTGGCATGGGCCGGGCCCTGCCGGGGGACAGACCCTGCAGCCCTGCCTCTTTGCTCTTTCGCTTTTTCTTTCCTGTTGCCTTTTTTTCCCCTCGCGATAGGCTGGTTCTGCTCTTCGCACCTTTTTTTACTGGGGAAGGGGAAGAGGAAGGTGGTGGTTAGACAACAGCAATGGTCCGTGCTCTCTCTGCTCCCCCATCTTCTCTAAGCCCTCCGAGCATTACAGGAAGGGATGAACCATGAGGGTATCAAATGATTTGGACTCTTTTCTTGGGCTGGGAGAGGGCTGCCAGCTCCCAGAGCATTTTTGCGGGTAGCTTTCTGTGCCAGCGAGCCGTGGGGGGGCCAGCGTGGTGGGAACAGGACAGATGCCACGTAACAGGGACAGGGTGGACCTCTCCAAGCACAGCCCTGCTGGGGATGCTCCTGCCTCCTTCCCTTCTCTCTTTCTGCTGTGCTGGGCCGGTTTTGCAGTCCCCCTCTGGCAAGGTGGCAGGTATCCTGCCATGGTTTTTTTTTTCCCCTCTTCGGACCCACTCTAACCTCAGGGAAAATCCAGCTGTGAGTTTTCTGGTTGCATGTTACTGCCCTGAAGGCAGCAATGATTTTTTTGGACTGAACCGTACGGCCCTGAGGCCGGAGCCCACCTTAGCCAGGGAGCCCGTGGGGACCCTGTGCCATTGTCACAGGCAGGGCCATGCCTGCCTGGCTGGGCTCTGCCTGCCCCTGCATCCCGGCTGGCACGTGGGGCTGTTTTGCTCTCCGTTGTGATTGTTTGCAAAACACAGAGGTCCTGGTGTGTGGAAGATAAGCTGCCTGCACGCGCCTCTCCTCCCTGCCGGCTTGCTGCCTTCTCTCCCCGTTAAGTTGCTGGGAGGTGACTGCTCACGGCGGGGGCAAGGGGGCTGCACTGGGGTCCATCAGTTCTTCCCTGCCCCAATCAAGTTCCCAATGAACTGAGGGTTTCCTTGAGCTCTCTGGAGCCATGCGTGGGTCTGGAGGATGTCCCACCTCCTCCCCAGGAAATGTCGGTTTGTGATGGGCCAGAAACCCTGGGCCTGGCATACGCTCGTGTTAGCTAGATGTTTCTCCCTCCCTAATCACCTACTTCCTAATCACTGTGAAGGGATTTGGTTTTGCAGAGGCAGGAGACAAAGTGGCTTGGCGGAGGTCCCCTGGGATGGGAGAGGGTTAGCGAGGCAGCAGGATTGAGCCCCTCCTTGGCTGCAGACCCTGTCCCTGGGAGGAGCCGCTCCATTAATATCTCCCATTCATCCCTCTTCCTGTAATCCTGCCGCCGACTCTGGCGCTCAGCAGCTGGCTCTGATGTCACCCAGCGAGGATTTATTGCTGCTTCAGGTGGAGAGCAGCAGTTGAAGCAGATGAAATCTTATGCCAGGAGGAGCTTGTTCCCTGAGCAAATTGCTTGGAGAAAATCCGAGGAGACAGATGCAGCTCCATCAGATACACACATGCCAGGCAGTGGGATCGCGTGTCTGCTGGCTCTGCGTGCCGTGGAAGGGGACCTGCTGCGGTTAACTCCCATCTCCCCGGTGTCCTGGAGGCCTCTGGCAGAAGGGACACTCGGATATTTCTGCAGACCTCTTTAATCTTTGCTTTTATGGACCTGGGGCAGAGGTTGTACTGACGCTTCCCAGGTGTAACACCTTCCTCATGCCCTCCTGGCTCTCTGGGGTGAGCAGGGTGATGTGCAGACACCGTTAGTTCAACCTTTCTGTAGTTAATGGGTGTGAAAACTCCTGTGAAGGTGCTGAGGTCTCTAGGAAGTCATTTACAGGGTTTTGGGGTGGCACGGCTGCCCTTTCAGCTCTCCTGGGCACTTGGAGGCAGTCGTCTGGCCCTCCCTGCAGCACATCAGTGCCTTCAGCTCCTCCTCGTGCAGTCTGGGCCGTGCTGTGGTTCTGCTTCTGGCTTCCCATGCACCCTCGGGTGAGTGGGAGCATACCAAAGGATGAAGTTGAGCCACGCGTGCCATCCCCAGGAGTGACCCCAGCCCTGGGGAAGGGATTTCCACCTACCTGCGGTATCTTCGAACCACTGCCAGCTGCAACGCCTGCAAGCTGCCCCAGTGCTCTTGGGGGTCCTTCCTCTCTGCCACCCTCTGCGTGGTCCTGCTGCCCAAAAAGCAGCATTCCCACAATGCTGTGGACAGCCCTCCCAGAGCAGGGTGACCCCTCTCTGTGCAGGGATGTGGCTGGGAGAAACAGCACGTCCCAGCCTTGTTCTGCCTTGGCCAGTCACATCCCTGCAGGCCTGGACTAGGACGCTGCCCCCTCCCAGCAGACTTGGCTCCAACCAGCAGCCTGCCCATCCCAGAGGAATCCATGTACCCCATCTGGGGATAATTAACAGGCATGTTGCAACTCCCCACAGTGGGTTCCTGCTCCTGCTGTGCCTCGAGGCCCGTTTATGTGCTGTGGGAGCCACTGAACCTGTTTGGGATGTTCTGCAGCCCAGGAGCCCTCAGGGGACTGCGGCAGGTGTGAAGTGGGGTTAATGCAAAGGCTCACTTGCTTTCAATTGCCTTTTTCGTGTCTCTCCCTGCAGGAAAGAACCTCTACACGAATGAATACGTAGCTATCAAATTGGTGAGTCCCTCCGTGGTCAGGGCGGTGATATTCAGGCCACCTGGGAAGGAGATTGTTCATCCTCCCCAGGCTGTTAGAGCGGGTCGAGCCCAGTGGGTTGCAATAGGTGATGGATGGGTGGCTGCGCGGGGAGCTGTGCTCACTGCTAGGAATTGAGGGCAGGCAAAGCAACATACGTCATTGCAGGTGGGGTGATCTGGGCCTGGGGAGAGAAGAGCTGGGTCTTTGCTTCTCCAGGACCTCACTGTGGCTTGTGCTGCGCTCAGCCGGTGCCAGCAGCGGAGACCTCCAGGAGAGGGTGGTCCCCACTGATACCTGCTCCCATTAATGTCTACCCCAGCACCTGGATCTCTGGAGGGGGTGGATCTGGCTCCCATATGGGCTGGTTTGCTCTCATCGTCCCCTGAGGCTTCATCTCCATTTTATGCCAGTTTTTCTCAACCCCAAATGCTCTCAGTCCAGCTGCTGCCAGCATGTGAAGGAGGTGTCTGACACCCAGACCTCCCTAACGTCCTGCTCCCTACAACAGCCTTAACTGTTCTCCTTCTCTCCTCCAAGGAACCCATAAAATCCCGGGCCCCCCAGCTGCACCTGGAGTATCGGTTCTACAAACAGCTCGGCAATGCAGGTATGGGGCTGGGCTGAGCTGCCGCGGGGAGCCGGCCGCCCAGGCGACACGGCTAGGAAAGGGAGGCTTCCTCTAAATGTGACTCTGCAAATTCACTCCCTGGCATGAGCGACTCCTGCCCATCTGCTCGGCTGGGAGAGGCTGATTTTACACAGAGCCACGTCTAATCTTTGATCCCTTTTTATTTAGTTCTTTTCCCCCCACCTCCCCCGCAGCAGTCAGGGATGCAGATGGAGCTGCCTCCTTCGCCCTCCTGCCAAGAGCAGAACCAGGCTGGCTGTGGCGCGGAGGGAGGGCAGTGCAGAGGCATCCCCCCATCTGCAGCCCCCCGTCCCGGCTCCAGCAATGGCATGGCCATGACAGCATGGCTGTGTGCTGCTCAGCCCTGCTGCAACCCTTGACAGCCCCTGCTCTGTCTCTTGCAGAAGGAATTCCTCAGGTTTACTACTTTGGCCCCTGCGGGAAGTACAATGCCATGGTGTTGGAGCTGCTAGGACCCAGCCTAGAAGATCTCTTTGATCTGTGTGATCGGACCTTCACGCTCAAGACCGTCCTGATGATCGCAATCCAGCTGGTGAGCACAGCACCTCCGCCTCGCCCACAGCGGCTGCAGACCGCCCCGGGGGAGCGGCGTGATGCGTGGGCACGGCGGTCAGGCTGTGTGGGGACCCTGCAGGGAAGGGTAGGGGAAGGAGGAGTGAGCCAGCAGCCGGCAGGCCGCAGGAGACACTGCCTGCTGGCACATCCCAGACTGCCTCCCTCCATACCCCACCCTCTCCCTGATGTAGGAGGGCTCTCCTTCACCCCCATGCAACCCCTCTCTGAGCACAGCCGAGCGTCTCTTGCTGTGTGTCCAAGATGCGGCTGGACTGAGCTTGTCCCCCAGGGCTGGAGGACCAGTTGTGCCCGTCCTTTCGACCCAGGGTGACGTACGGGCAGGGGGGAGCAGGGTTGCTGGCTGGGGGCGAGGCAATCAGAGCAGAGTCGGGCCCAGGGGAGGAGGGTGCAGGGATGCATGCAGTACGCATGGTGCGTCTCTGCCATGGTGCTGACATCTCCTTCTCCCCCAGATCACACGGATGGAGTATGTCCACACCAAAAGCCTGATCTACAGAGATGTCAAGCCAGAGAACTTCCTGGTGGGGCGGCCGGGCAGCAAGCGGCAGCACACCATCCACATCATCGATTTTGGCCTGGCCAAAGAGTATATTGACCCCGAGACCAAAAAACACATCCCCTACCGAGAGCACAAGAGCCTGACAGGGACAGCACGCTACATGAGCATCAACACCCACCTCGGGAAAGGTGTGTGCGCACCGTGCGGCCAGCCCTGCCTCTCGGCCGAAAGGGAGAGGGAAGGAGACTGCAGGGTGCGAGCTCCCCCCTGCCAGAGGTGGGGCTGGGTACAAACTGCCTCTCCTGCTCTTCAGCCTGGGATGTTGGCAGGGCGCTTGGGGTGCTGCAGGGTCTGGCAGACACAGGAAAGGTGGCTGTAGTGGGAACGTGCCCGTGTCTCTTTTTTTCTCCGTGCAGAACAAAGCCGCAGGGACGACCTGGAAGCATTAGGGCACATGTTTATGTACTTCCTCCGTGGGAGCCTCCCTTGGCAAGGCCTCAAGGTAACTGCCAGCTCCCGCTGTCCTTCGGCACGGCTGCCCCGTGGGTCTGGCTCTGCCCTGGCATGGGCAGCATCAGGGTGTGGGGAGGGGAAAACTTTGGCCTCCGGGGTGTTGGAGGGTTGACACCCTGCCAGATGCAGGGGCTGTTGGTCTGAGCTCTGTGCCAGACCTTTGCTGTCCTGAGCGGCTGTAGGTGTCCCCCTCCGTGTCCCTCCTGCTTTGTGGGTATCCCAGCTGCTCTCACGGTGGCTGTCCTGGAACCGCACTCCTCAGTGTTTGTCTTCCAGACCTGCCCTGGGTGAGGGGATTCCCTGGGAATGGGCTCTCGCTGTTACCTGGAAAAGGGGGGCCAAGAAACTGTTTGTGGTCTGACGACACCCAGTGCCTTCCCCGCTCCCGGGGATGTGCCTGCCCCTCATGCTGACCTGCTCCTTGTCTCTGCCAGGCTGACACGCTAAAGGAGAGGTATCAGAAGATTGGTGACACCAAAAGAGCCACTCCGGTGGAGGTGCTCTGTGAGAACTTCCCAGGTGAGGGCACTCTGCATCACCTGTCCTTGTCCCCAGCCTGGCCCCAGAGCCCGCTGGCCTGGCATCTTGTCCCCCTGCCCCAACTGAGCCCGCTCTGTCCCCGCAGAGGAGATGGCCACATACTTGCGCTACGTGCGGCGACTGGATTTCTTCGAGAAGCCTGACTACGACTACCTGCGGAAGCTCTTCACAGACTTGTTCGAGAGGAATGGTTATGTGTTCGACTATGAATACGACTGGGCAGGGAAACCACTGGTGAGTGCCGAGGGAGCGGGGGTGGGCAGAGGGTGCTGGGCCCCAGGGTGCCTGGGGGGTGGTGGGCAGTGTGGTGGGGAGTCAGCGTGGTCTGTGGCAGCAGCCAGGGGGGATGCAGGTCAGCAGTTGTCCCTGCCGAGCTCACCTGTGTCCGAGAGATCGGCTCCACCAGTCCTCACCAGACGCCAGCAGCCAGCTCCAAGGGAATCTCATCGGCTGTTGTGCCGATGAGTTAAAGCTGTGACGCAGAAATTTGAGGCTCCTGGAGCTAAGGGGAACTTAGCAGTCGAGTTGGCACCTCGCTTTCTGCCATGGGCACCCTCCGTGGGCTCGCTGCAGCCAAACACCAAGCGTGGAGCTGCTGGGGCGGGGGTAAGGGCTGGGATCAGGCCCCCGTTCTGGGGTGTTTTGCATGTTTAGCCAGAGGTTGGATCAGGGGGCGCGGGGCGGCGGGAGGGCTGCTGTGTCATGGCTGATGTTGTCCTTGTCGTGTCCCCAGCCCACCCCCATCGGCACGATGCACAGCGAGGTGCAGGTGCAGCCCCCGAACAGAGACAAAGCACAGCCACACACCAAACACCAGGTGAGCGGCAGCGTTGCCGGGGCACGGGACCGCGGTCGTGCAGAGCTTGGGCTTCTGCTCCACAGACTCACAGAGCCCAGCGGGGCCTCTGGATGGAGGCAGGGACTGGGGCATCCTTTTTTCCCCCGGTGCTGCCTGTGGGAGGGCTTCCTCCCTGCAGGTCTGGGTCTGTGGCTAGCAGGGGGACCAGGGCAGTGTCCCTGGGGCCAGGCGGCCTGGCAGAAGCAGGAGGAAGCAGCCGTGGGAGGCTGTAGCACGGTGGGGAAGCGCCAGGCCTGGGCTTCAGCCGGCAAGCTGCAGGGTTTAGCGCTGGCCGGGGGGTGTGGGCACGGTACAGGCTGAGCCACCTTGCGCTAAGGACAATGTCCCCGGTGCCGCGTCCCCATGGGAGTAACTTGCTGCTCTGTTCGTGGTGCCACTTTCATCAATGGGACGGGGACACGGGACAAAGGAGGGGGCTGCCTGGGCCTCGAGAGAGGGGCTGGCTTTGCCCTGGGAACCGGCAGGGCACGTGGGGCCGAGCTGGGAGCAGCCAGGGGCAGGGAGATGAGCAGAGCTGTGCAGGCAGCTCCCCGCCTGGGTCGCTGTGGGAAAGGGGCTGGGCTGCCTGGCCCTTCTCCAGTGCCATGGCCTGTCCTACGCTGGAGCAGGAAACACGGCTTTGGGACTGCTACCATCAAGAGCAAACCTCACGTGTTTCCCCAGCGGGCCCGTACAGACCCTCGTCCTCTTGCCTTGAACCTCCACGGGGAGCAGAGCACCTGCAAACAGGCTGGAGCCGAGCGTGCAGCACCCTGTCCTCCCTCACCCATGTATCGGCCCAGCGGCGCCCCTTGCTACTGTGGGCCGAGCAGGGGGAGCCTGGGACAGCCCTGGCTCTCGCTGGCCGGTGGCTGGGCAGCGCTTCCTTAGGGAGAGGGCGACTTCTTCAAAGCACCTCTGGCTCGTTCCTGGGACCTTGCTCCCAGTAAGATCTGCTCTCTGCCTCCAGCATCCAAGAAATGCCGTGTTCAACATCCCTTCTCGAGGGCAGTGGGAAAAGCAAAGCACAAAACTCCCGCAGTGCGGGAGCAGTTTCCAACCTGGGGATGCAGAGGGGCTGTGCCATGCTCACAGTGGCGAGGGTTTGGCAGCAGGGTCCTCCCGCGCTGCCGGAGAAGCTGAGGAGCCCGGCGCCCTCGAGGAGCAGCACAGCTTTCTCGAGGGCAGTGGGAAAAGCAAAGCACAAAACTCCCACAGTGCGGGAGCAGTTTCCAACCTGGGGATGCAGAGGGGCTGTGCCATGCTCACAGTGGCGAGGGTTTGGCAGCAGGGTCCTCCCGCGCTGCCGGACAAGCTGAGGAGCCCGGCGCCCTCGAGGAGCAGCACAGCTCGCTTCCTCGCAGTCGCCCCGTAAAGATCCGCGTCGGCCTCGGAACATGGCGCTCGCAGGAGGGGG